GGCCCGGGTAGCCCCCTCTCGTGGGCGGGAGAGGGGATTCAGCCCTGCCTCTTCTGTGAGTGTGTGCAGGGGGGAATTATGGAAGGAGTCCGGCTTGTTAGTAAGGTAGGTTGCAGTGCTAGGCGGAGGTGGGCGGGGAATGGAAGGTGAGGGGTGGAGGGCTGACTTCCCTGTGGGGCAATTACGTACAAATACAGCTGAACTGGGGAGAGGGTGAAAGTCCCCTTTGGGGGCCTCCTCCTTTGCTGCCTGGAGCAGAGGCAGTGCTGTTAGGGAAAGTGGATACATGGGGGGGAAAGGGACGGTGTTTGAACAGTGTGCATCCTGGCCACTTTCCACAGGCAACCAGACATGTTATGTTCCAAACGCTGGCCCCTATGCTGGGTCTTACCAAGGTCAGGGATTTGAGGATGGCTCTCAGTGCCTGACTCCCATCACAATCCATCCCAGCTCTCAGGGGACTTCCTCCTAAAGTTTCCCTGAGCCTTCTAGTGTGTTCCGCAGATAACCTCAGTTTGTTTCCACTGTAACAGTGGGGATCATAGACACTAGCTCATCAGACAGTGGCATGATGGACCGTATTGTGTGGCATTCTACAGCAGTGCCTGGCACAGGGTAAACATCATAGAAAAGCTTGCTTTGGGAGCCGGCTGGTGGCGTGGTGATTAAGGGCACTGGAGTCCAAATGGCTGACTGCTTTGAGTCTCAGACCTGGTGGCTTGCTTTGTCACTTTCTCTCTTCCTCTCTCTCTCTGTCCCTCTCTGGTCAAATTAAAATAAAGTTAAGTAAAACTTTTTAAAAAGCTTGCTTTGGCTGCCCCCTCACCCTGTGTGCCCTCTGTGTGTGTGTGTGTGTGTGTGTGTGTGGGTGGGTGCGTATGTGACCAGAACTCTGGGCCCATTCTGCCTGGTTTCCTCTCTGTCTCACCTTCTAAACTGTGAGCTCCTTGAGAACAGGGCCCATCTCTTCTCTACTTCCATAGTCACTCTCTGCCTCCAGGGTGCTGTGGTCATATCAGGCCTTTTTTTTTTTTTTTTTTTTTTTGAGAGGCTTTTGCTATAGGGTGCATGTACTTGCCAGAAAGACAGAGACAGAGAGACAGAAAGTGAGAAATCACCTCCTGGGAAGATGGCCACGCTGCTATCCCTTCTCCTCTATTTTTCTTTCAGGATCTTGGGGACGCATGCACACGCAGCCAGTGTGAGTTTAAGCCACCGGACCCGGGACTCGAACCGTGGTCAGCTACATGGGAGTCCAGTGACATAGCCATTACACTAACTGCTGGTCTCATGTCAGGACTTTTTGAGAGGAGGCCCAGGGATGCGCTTAGATTATTCAGTAAGGATGATATCCAGTTTGGACAGGTCCTGTAGCTTAGTGGTTAAGGGAAGCAGATCTCACATGACTGGCTGCAGTACAAATCCCAGCCCTGGTGGCTCTAAAAACCTGGTAGTAGGTGTGTGCATATGCCTGTTATCCTCCTACAGTGGGAAAATGGAGGAGAAGGGACTGCAGCATAATCATGTCCCTTTGGGGGGTGCTTTCACCCTCCCCCTCTGGCATGCACTTGTGCCCTCTGACAATTAAAAACAAAGATTATTCAGTGAGACTGCTGCTATAGATGGAAGATGGAAACATGAGTGTCTCCCGTGTCCTTGAGGAGCTTATAGACATGAGGCACCGAGAGACATTAGGAGCTAGGTTTTACTTCCGGAACTCAGAGAAAGGAGAACTGGGATGGGCCAGAGGTGAGAGCTTCCTGGTCAGGTGGTCCTTTAACAGTCCTAAGACTAGATAGCTGCGGAGTGTAGGAGGCCGGCTCCCTGCAGCCCTGAGCTCATGGTAAGGAGCAAGAGCCGCCTTCTCAGAGGCCTGCTTCCTCCTACCAGAAAGGCGAAATCTATCTCTTACCTCTGTTCCAATCTGGGGAGGTCCCAGATTTTGAACTTCAGAAACGTGGGAGCTGAAAGCCCTGGCCTCAAGACCTGGCACTGCAGTTACTAGCTGTTCGACCTTGCACATACCACTCATACTCACTGATCCCCTTGGGCCACCTGCAAAATGGGGGCAAGGCCATCGAAGTCACCTGGCTGCTGAGAGGACCCACTGAGCTAATACCTAGCGCCGAGCTCATCTAAGGGCCTAGTCAATGGAGGTGTTCGTGTCATTTTTGGGCAGACTGCCACCAGTGTCGGTGCTGAACTCTGGCCGGCCCCGAGAAGACAGCCCCACTCCAGACCCAGACCACCTTCCAGGGAAGGACCCTGAGGATACCTCTGCTCAGATGGTAAGAGTCCTGTCCTTTCTCTGAGACCAATGTGCCCTCTGTCCTCTGTCCTTCTTCCCTTTTCAACTGGGAGGTAGTTTGCCTTTGTGCCCAACTTCTTAAGGTCTCTTTCTTTTCTCGGAAATTCCTGTCTGAGCAGCCCGCTCAGCACATGGGGTTCGACTTGGAACTCATGCACACGGATATACATGACTTTGCCTAGGGGGTCTGCGTAGGCGAACCAGACCCTAGGGGCTTTGGCCCCAGAACTGAAGACGGTGGTTTCAGGCTCAAGAAGGAAGCTGTTTGGGGACATGGGGCCACTCCAGCCTCCCTCTAGGCAGGCCACAGATGCAGAAGTGAATCAGCTGTCCTGTGTGCAGTGAGGGTCTAAGGAGGATCCTCTCAACAAAGGAAAGACTTGGAAGTTGCCCTGGAGTGGAGGAGAGTGGCCATTAAGCCGGGAAAAGAAGAGGAAGGGAGGAGGAACCTAGCCCCACTCCTGCCCTCTGCCATGTCTTCTCAGGGTCCTGCAGTTCTGAGCTTGAGCCCTCTTTGCCTGGACAGCAGCCACGCCCCCAGCTGGCCTGGGCTTCAGCGCCTCCTGTGGCAGCTCCCTCCACAGGACAGTGACGTGGGTCTCCCTTCCCCAGCTTCCCTTTCTCTTGCTTCCCTTTCCATTTCCCTCTTTTTCCTTACTGTGGAAAGAACCCTGGTCCAGAGCAGGGAAGAGCTAGGCCACTAGTCAGGGGACGTATTCCCCCCAGCTCACGCGTTCATATCTACATAACGGGTATAGGAACAGCTGCTCTGTCCTCCACCACGCCTAGTTCAAGAACAAATGAGAACAGGGAACCAGCAGTTAGCGTAATGGCTATGTCGCTGGACTCCCATGTAGTCGCCCGCGGTTCGCGTCCTGAACCCGGTGGCTTAAAACTCATGCTGGGCGTGTGTGCGTGCATGCCCAAGATCCCGAGAGGAGAATGGAGGAGAAGGGATTGCGGCGTGACCATCCCCCCTGGGGGGTGATTTCTCGCTTTCTGTCTCTATGTCTCTCTCTCTGTCTTTCTGGCAAGCGCACGCGCCCTATAGCAAAAACCTCTCCAAAAAAAAAAAAAAAAGAACAAATGAAACAAGGCACGGGA